TTTATTCTTGATGTTTGGGATATGATTGGAAAATATATCTTGAACCCTAGATCACGGTAAGAATATTTGTTATGTTAATTGCCAGGAATGGAATGAATATATCAATTGCTTAACACCCTAAACCTAATGCTGGAAAATCTCTTAATTGTGTGAGGAATCAACATTTATTAGGTTTTCTTATGAATTTCATGTGTGAGGAATCAACATGGATGATTTGAGTAGGTGACATCAACATTATTAGGTTAATTGATGTTCTTAATTGACACAACCATTACAAAAGAGGGAAAAGGAAGGAAGTCAATCCTAAGTGTATTTAATTGATATTTTCTCAACAATTTACAGTTCTTTGTCATTTAATTTCAATTCAACTCTTTATGCAAAACTCAATTTGTTTTAATCCACTTAGTAAGCATGTAATTGGAAATTTCCATTGAAACCGTTCCTCGTGGGATCAAATTTTATTTAATCGAAATACTATACTGCGATTGATAATTTTGGTATGCTTGCCAATAATTCAACAAGTATTTCTGGCGCCGTTGCTGGGGAACAATGTTCTTTGAGAATTTTTTGTTTAACATTACAACAATGAGCGACCCATAGGGGTCATTGCAACATTAATGAAAATTTTATAACTTGTCTTTGCAAATTGCTCCAGGTATGCAGTGGACGTCAGCACAGGAATTCGATGCTTTACTCCAATGGCTTGGGGACAATTCCTATTTCCCAGGAGGGGGTGAAGGTGTTGCAGCTGGTGCACAAGGAACACAAGAAGAAGATGAGGAATCACAGGAAGAAGATGAAGAAGAAGGAAGTGAAGAAGAAGATTAAAAGGGAGAAAATTTTATTTTTAAGTGATTTTTGTTATTTTGGTGTGTTTAAGTGAATTGGTTAATTTGATGTTTTAAGTTTTTTCTTTTAATTTGGTTGAAGTTGTTTTGTTTTGAATATTCTAAATTGACATTTAATGTGATAAATGTTTAAATTGATGTGATTAAATTGTTGTCCCATACAATTTGGATTAGAGCCAATTATGAAATTATTGTTTATTGTCCAATTCAAATATGAAACTTGAAGAAAACCATTTTGATTGTTCCAATAACAAGTGATTTTGGGATATTGAGTATGATAGTGAAAAAGGAATTGACGGGGAGAAGTAGGAATTAACTGAATCGTAGAAGCTAGCCAAAAACCCAAGCGAGAAGTGAACCAAAAATAGATAAATTGAGTGTCAACACTTTGTGATGATAACTGGTATTGATTGATTCTTTGATGTGATTGCGTGTTAGTTATACTTGAAAATGATAAAGACAATTTTTTCTTTATAGTAGATATAACTCAGAGCCAAATAGCTAACCCTGCATTAATTATAGGACATCCATTTGAACCCTTCTGAGCCACAAACAATATTGTTTATTAAACAAAACCCCTGAGCCTAAAAACTATTTATCTACCTTCCTATATTTGAGAAAGGAAATGAGTATGAATGTTATTATTTTTCCTATTGTTGGGTATTGCTATTGTTGTCATACATGTATTATTATTCTTAAAAAAAAAGGGAAAGGAAAAGGAAAAACAAAGCTTAAAAATTGTGGCAAAGCCAGAAAGGATAAATGCAAAAGCATGAGAAAAGAAAAAAAAAAGTTCAAGGGGGGATAATAACTTGAAGGATTATTAACTCACTATCATATTGTTAGGGACAAAAGCATGAAGTTTGAAACCCGACTTGAGGAAATGTTAAACAAGAATCATTTATATGATTTGAATTTCTCAAATACTTTTGTATATCCCAGAAAAACCAATAAATTCTTTCTTAGCCCAGCCCCATTTGAAGCCTCAAAAAGACCTTTTGATTTCAGTCTTGCTTAACAAATGTTGATTACTTGAAGATGATTATCAATATTGGATTGTCTAAATGAAGTGATTTAATGAGATAAACACTTACCTGTGAGAGTTAGAGATGATTATATATCACTCTATTTGAGAGATCATGTTTCTCTGAGGATAGTTGATGACTAATTATTCTTTGTTTGTTTCTGTAATTTGAATGCTTATGTATTCTATTTTCATTTGAAACTATGAGCATCACATATGAAAATTTTTTATGCTGTGGTTCTGGAAGAAAAGTGATAATAGGCGATGGTTTTATTTTGGAAAAATTACTTTGCTTGGGACAAACAAGATTTTAGGTTGGGGGGAGTTGTTAAGTGGTAAAAAGTTGATATAATTATGCCTTGAATTGTTATGAAACCACTTAACTTATGTTAATTCTAATATATTTTTCTCCCAATATAGGAGGAATTCGAGAATACCTTGATACAAGAGTAAGGAGCATAATTGTCAGCATAATTGGAGTAAAACTAGAAGAAAGAAGAATATTTTCAGCATGGAAGTCGCTCGAGCGAGATGGACTCTCGCTTGAGCGAATATCAGTTATTCTTCTCTGGAAGTCAGTCGCTCAAGCACAAGAAAATTCGCTTGAGCGAATGTTAGTTATTCTTCTCTGGAGTTCACTCGCTCAAGCACGCATTTTGTCGCTTGAGTGAAAGACGCGAGACTCAATTTTTCCTATAAAAAGATAAGATGCGTTTTGAGAAAAGCAAGCGTTTTGGGGGAGAAGAGGCGTGACTACTGGTAGAGTTTCATTCAATCTTCATCAATTCTTCACTTCTTCCTCATTTGGAGCATTGTAATAGCCAACATGAGTGACTAACTTCATTCTCTTGGGGTTTGGTGCACTTCCTTTGAACTCTTTTGTATCATAGTGATATTTTGAGATATTAATCTATATTTTGATGTTGTTATTCTTATCCTTTGTGCTTTGGAATGATTTATTCTTGATATTTGGGATATGATTGAAAAATATATCTTGAACCCTAGATCACGATAAGAATATTTGTTATGTTAATTGTCAGGAATGGAATGAATGTATCAATTGCTTAACACCCTAAACCTAATGTTGGAAAATCTCTTAATTGTGTGAGGAATCAACATTTATTAGGTTTTCTTATGAATTTTATGTGTGAGGAATCAACATGGATGATTTGAGTAGGTGTCATCAACATTGTTAGGTTAATTGATGTTCTTAATTGACATAGTCATTACAAAAGAGGGAAAGGGAAGGAAGTAAATCCTAAGTGTCTTGAATTGATATTTTCTCAACAATTTACAGTTCTTTGTTATTTAATTTTAATTCAGCTCTTTATGCAAAAATTAATTTGTTTTAATCTACTTCGTAAGCATATAATTGGGAATTTCCATTGAAATCGTTCCTTGTGGGATCGACTTTTATTTAATCGAAATACTATACAGCGATTGATAATTTTGGTACGCTTGCTAATAATTCAACATTATCACACCATAACTCCGCAAGTACAAAACACAAATGTGCCCAGTTTTGTATTTACACTAACGTGTGATCAAGTTAAATTTCTAAATGACTTATCAAGACACAATTCTTTTTCACACCGTAGGACAAGTCATTAGAAACATTCTTCAACTCTCATCACTTGATCTTTTATCTATGTGATTTTAGTGATTAATAGAGTCATGTTATCTCTTTGAGTCCTAAATTAATATCTATACATACGACATTGCACACATGAGGATACCCCTGAGCAATTCTCATATTATAATACAATAATTTTTAAGACACATAATATCATTCAAAACACCTCATTTCATGTTCATAACATGTATTTTAATATCTTAAGGCTTATGCATGTCATTTCTCACATTATAACAAAATATAATTTTTTTATTTGATCTTTGTCTACTCTTTTAATCATAACTTTTTCACTAATTCTTATTTTATTGAATTCCTTATGTTTGAGGCTTTAATTTGCAGATAACGAATGTTTAATTTGGAGTTCGGAGCTATTTATTATAATTTTTTGAAAATGGGAAAGCAAATTTGAAAGCACTAAGCTAATTTTAAAAAGCCAGGCGAATTTTAAATCCATTGAATGAAATTAAATGGTTGAGCAGATTGTGCAAACACTCTAGTGTTTGTTTTTTTTCAAATTCATTGAGTAAAATTTTGATAAAACCTTCAACACTGCCCAAAATCCGTTGGACGAATCTAAAAGCTTTGAATAAAATTTAAGCGTTTTCAACACTCTTTAATCAGCTAAATGAATTTAGGTTTGTTGGGCAGATTCATGACAATAGTAGAATGCCTAATATGTTCAATACCCTGTTTCTAATGTTTCAAATAAAATTATATTTAAACACTACATCCAAATTATAAATCAATTCACTAAATTCAATCTAAGAATAATACATTTGTACAAAAAACTATCATTTTTAATCTTATACAAATCAACATACATTAACATTCAATACAATAATCACAAATCTAACACATACATAATCACACAATTTAATTTCTTGAAATTCAATCGATGTGACCAAGTCACCTTTATAGTCTAGATTTTCTAAACTAAAGTACTATGGAAATTGAAAAATAATTAACTTTCCTTATCTAAAATATAGTACCTCAAAGTTAGAGAATCCTCACAACTCCTAAATTACCAGAAGACATATCTTGTTCACAGAAAACCCAATTAACCAATTGAACATTCTACATATTCTTAAATTAGTCAAGATTCATCTTTTTCTAATAAAGTTTACATGCAAGTAATCAAAACCCACATGCAACCCTAACCCCCAACCTATAGAAATGTAAATGCTGTAAATTTGGAAAAAAAAAAATACTAAACTCTGATTAGATGGAAATGATCTTTTCTCCTTCATAAGCACTAAAGCATGCTTGGATCTATAAAAAAAATGAGAGAGTGAGTGAGAAATTTAGAAAGAAGATAGAGAAAAGAGAGTTGTCGAGAGATAGTGGTTTTGTGATAATAAAGTTTGAATGATTGAACTTTTTTATTTATAATTCTCAGTAAAACTTCAAATTTATTCTCACTGTAGCACTTCTATTCCTAACTCAATTAAGCTAGGTCTTTATAAAGAATACAAGAGAATTCTACCTAGAGTTGAATATGGGTAAGTATTCTTTTATCTTTAAGACTTTTTTTTTTTTAGTTTATAACAGTAAAGAAGGTCACTTAATAATTGTGATTACGTGGAAATGGTTAGGATTTTAAAATGAGTATGATATGTTAGGCCAAGAAAAATAAAAAAAATTAGTAAATTAAATTAAAAAATATTATAATGTAAATTGTAACAAACCAATTTTGATCAAATTAGTTTAACCCATTAGTTTAGGTTAAGCTTCAACCAGTTTTATAAAATAATAGTTATTTTTTAAATAAATAAATAAATATTATTTTATTATCTATTAATTTATATATCAAATTATTATATCATAAATAAAATTAATTTTATTAATATAATTTAAAATTTAAAAATATTTTTTATTTTTTAAGTAACTCGTTTTTATGGACATGTTATATTTTTCTTTTCAATTTTAAATTAGGTCAAAATTAATCCATTTACCTAATATAAAGTGTAACTAGATTGGTCATTTTAAAATATAACTTATATTAAGTTATTCATTTCTTTTTTATTTGGTTCATAAAACCAAATCAGATTAAATTAGTTATTGGTTGTTGATGAGGAGTTAACGATGAGATTTTGGATGACTCACTCTAAAGTTATGTGTGAACATTAAGATAAGTAAAGTTATTAATCTTCTTAATTAGTGTGTTAGATAATCAGAACGATTATAATTATCGCACATAAGTGTTAGTCTTTAAATTTAAAATAAAAATAACAAATAGCCTAAAAGATGTCTAGTTTGTGGAATGGATGAAAGTAATATATTGGAAGATAATGTACGAATGTTTATTATTGAAAGATAATGATGGTGTTGAATGTATATAATTTTTTTTATGTTATCTTGAACTATAATTATCATATTTGTTCAAAATTCTTATCTTAAACTATAATTATCATATTTGTTAAAAAAGAACACATATTGTTTCAAGGTTTATATAGGATGTAAGGATTAGCCATTTGAAATTCTAATAGTTTATATTTATTCTATTATGATATATAGTATGATTATAATTTCATACTAGTAGATATTACTTTAGAGGTAGATACATTATAAATTTATTATGTATATTATTTCCAAGTAGGATCGTTATACATGTAATTGAATTCAATTGATTACACTAATCCATTTTCATTCTTTGATTTGAATTTTGATTCATTTTTAAAATTTCAATCAATAAAAGTTGATTAATATATACTTATTTTCTCCTCAATGTAACTAAAATTGTATATTATTTGTTTTTCTTTTGGTTAGTGAAATTAACGTAAATACTTTTATATTTCTTTGTGATGTGAATTTAGAAGATACACAACAGCGACTTGGGTCCGGAATGTATAGTATGTTTACATTGTTATATAGTTTTTATTTTTTATTTATTATTAAAATTTATTTGAATTACACATGAAATTTACATATAATTTAGAATAATTATATTATTAATATAAAGTATTTATTAATTTTACTAACGACCAAATTTTATTAGTAAACACAATGGATAGTCTTTAGTGGATTATTTTCCTAACTATATTTAATTTACATCTAATGTAATTTAATTTGATTTAATGGAATATTAACCCAGAATTAAATCAAACTGATTTTGTATGAATCTCGGGTTTGTATTTGTTAGTGCATCTATTTTTGAAAATTATTTTTGACGAACTAATATAATATAAATGACTATCAAAAGTCCTGAGGATAGTTTGAAAACAATTTTGATAATTTTATAATAATAAAAATGAATAGTTTAATATAATTATTGGATAAAATACTGATACTTATAAATGAAAACAAAAAATTATAATTTTTTTATCAGTTTTTGTTTTAAGTTTTTAAAAACTAAAAATCAATTCTCAAAACCTATTTTAACAAAATATTCATTAAACAAGTTTTTTAATTTTTATAAAATTAAAAACTGTTTTTAAAAATAGTAGATAAATAAGTTGGTATTTTTTTCATTAGATAGGTTTTATGATTAAATAATTTATGAATAAGATAATAAAATGAGTTAGACTTGATAGGTTGGTTCGCCTAAAAAATGATGGGGTGGATTGGTAGTTTTAGTCTACCAACCTGTTTGATTTGTCTTGCTTAATTTACTAACTTTGCGAGATGTAACCGATTGACCTACTAACTTATTTAAAAAAAAATTTATATATTAAAATAAAAATAAATAATATTATAATTAAAAATATTATATTTTTTCTATTATATTATTAAAAAATATAAATATAATATAATGTTATAAAAAAATAATCAATTAAGTTTAAATTATTGATTATAATTAGTTATTTTAACACATAAATATAATAAATTTTTAATTTATTTAAAAAATATTAATTAATAAAAAAATTTAAAAATCTTTATATAATTAAAGATATATTTAAAAAAATATATACAAAATTATTTAAAAAAAAAATTAGTGGGTTGGCTTGACGAGTCCACCCTTTAACGGGACAGGTTGTGGTCTATATCCTTATTGACTATGATGAATAAACTTGTCCTGTATTCATTTTTTACGGACTAGAGACGAGATAGACTGATCCGTTTTGCCATTCTTAATTATGAACTCTTTATCTACATTTTTTTCATTTTTTTTTTCTTTTGAAAATGTCTACAAAAGTGGTGAGAAGACTTAAAAGAGAAAGTTTACATGGGTTGGAGAAATGATTCATTGGATCAAGTGGGATCATCATGTAAATCAAAGAAAAATGAAAGATTAGAGATAAAGGATGGGAGAAACTTTCATGTTACCTTTAGTGGAAATGGAGATTTTGGAATCTAAGTACGAAGATTGGAGAAATTTAAATAAAGGTAGTGTATAGTGTGTAATGAGTTTTGTAAGTGGAGGGATTTGAAAAAGGTTGATAAGTTGGTATGATAATATTGTGGTTTGGAAAGATAGGAAATGAAAATAATATTCAATTCTATCATCATAGGATTTTAATAGGATTTTCTTAAACTCAAAATCTCATGATGGATAGAGTATGTGGCAAGATGATGAAAGAATATGGCATTTGAAATGGAGAAAAGCTTGATTTCCATGGGAATAGACGTGTTAAGGCTAATAAAAGAAAATTTAACAGAATATAAATCAATTAGATAAAAAACAAATATTATCTTAGAAAAAAACTAAAAAATATTAAAATTATGAATTATTTTCATTTATAAATATTAAAAGATGGTTAATTAGATTTAAATGAAAGATACGTGAGTAACGAACTCTCCACAACATAAGCAGAGATAAAAGGTGGTAATGTTCTTTACCATTCATGTTGGGCCCTTTTGATATCAAGTGTAGATTAATGTGTTGAGCGATTGATTGAGTCAAGGATCATAGAGAGATACATATAGATTGAAGCAATGGAGAAGAACAATTTTGCAAAAGATGGTGCAATGAATCTCAACGTTGAGGACAAACATACGATCCAATCCCCTAAACAACCTTTTTTCATTGGTAAGAGATGATGTTTAGTTTCTTCTTTTCCTTTCAAATTTCACTAAATTTTTGCTTTTTCTCAAAATGAAAACTTTTAGGTGTTGCTGGTGGAACTGCATCTGGGAAAACAACTGTGTGTAACCTCATAAATACCCAACTTCGTGATCATCGCGTTGTCCTCATTACCCAAGTAAATAATCCTCTACGATTCATGTTTTTTCTGTGTCTTGTGTTATGTTGAATGGAAGCCATAAAGTTTGATTGATTTTTTTTTTTCGTTTGGTATTTGGATAAATCGCTGTTTTAAAAAATCGACTCGACGGGAAAGTTCAATCGAAGTATCAATATAAAAATTGGTGTATTTTTTAAATAATCAATTCTTAATTACATCAGGAAAATATGAAATTTTTGTATCAAATTGATTTCAATAAAAAAAATTTAAGATCAAAATTAAAATATATTTTTTTTTATAAAAAATATATGTTTTCATCTTAAAAATATACTAATTTTTATTTTTTTATAAAATCAAAATTCTTTCTTTATCTTATATTAGATATATTAATTTTAAATAATAGTTATTTTATGATATTTTTATCTTATTTTAATGATTTTTTGTATTTCAATTATATTTTATCTGTATAACTTTATCGTGATAATAATATTTATTATTTTTTAAAATTATTGGTACTAATTATTCTTACCTAGATTTTTTATAAATTAGCATTCGAATATAAGTATCTCAAAATCATGAGATATTTTATCGGACATGTATCTTGTCCCAGTGGTTAGGACTCAGTAATTACACTAATGTATATATTGTATATTTATTATATTATTATTATATTATAAAATATTATTTTATTAAATTTAGTTAGATTTATGATTGAAATCTACATCTTAAAAAAAATGTCTTTATTAATTTATTGACCTACCCCATTTTAAACCACATGGAGATAAACTAATGACTGAATTGGATATATTTTTCTATTTGTCTAAATATAAATAATTTAATGTGGTAAGAGTTAATTTTAGCTTATAATTCATTTACATGTGTTATAGGACTCGTTTTATTGCTCATTGAGCGACCAGACGAAGCAAAAACTTAATGAGTACAATTTTGATCATCCTGGTGAGTATATAATGAATCATGTTGATCCAATTTTGTTTTGGCATATGAATTTCAAAATTTGATGTAGAACTTGTTTCAAAATCTACACCCGTATGGGAATAATGGGTCTTTATTGAATTTTCAGATGCCTTTGATATGAAGCTTTTGCTTTCAACAATGGAAAAATTGAAATGTGGACTACCTGTTGCTATACCAAATTATGATTTCAGCAACCATAAGAGAATTGAACCAGCACACCAGGTAGAACATGAGTTTTGGAAATAGGAAATATCAAGAGATTTTGGGAGATATTAGAAAGAGATTAATTATAAGAGTATAATTCAATCCTATAAAATTAATTTTTTAAAATACATTTGCATGTAAATTATGCATTATTCATCAAAACCCATCATGATGGATGCATTCAATTATTGGATTTACATTTCTTTTCTTCTTGGTCACTTAGGTTCACTCTGCAGATATCATAATTTTAGAAGGGATATTAGTTCTTCATGACCCAGGTGTCCGTAATCTATTGAACATGAAGATCTTCGTTGATGAAGGTTAGTTATTTTTAATTCCTCGTTAACTACACTTACAAAGGATCATAAGCACTTTATATATATATATATATATATATATATATATATATATATATATATATATATATATATATTGAGATGTTATTGAATATAAAAGTAATGAGTTTATTATTTTGTTATTACAAATTTTACATGAACACTGTTTATAACAAAACAGAAAGTTAGTTAACTTAACATCCTAATAAAGTTGATAATTATCAATAGTTGAATTATTAACCAATATAACTCATTAATTCAATAGTCAATTTTATATCAGGTTTTTTTTTTTTTCACTTTTTCAAATATTTGAGTGTTTATGACTTTGTCATAATATCAATCAACGATTTTTTTTAGTGTCACATAGCTCTAACTTTAACTTCTTCACACGTCATCTTCATCTTCTTTTAAAATCCTCAATCGATATAATTTTGTTGTTAGTTATTAATCGATGATTTTGGTTCAATTTCAACATATAAAACTTTGTTGCCCGTTATTAACCAATGATTCTAGTTTAATTTTAACATGTAAAGTTAAATCAAGTAGATTAATTTCATCCTCAATTTCTGTGATAATTTGTCCTAACATTGTAATTGTATCATTAATATTTATCATATAATCATCAAGTCTTGTTGATGCTCTTATTGTTCTTGTTGGTCGATTTCTTCCTCTTTGCTGATTGATTTCTTGAATCGATCAATTCCTTCTTCTATCGATTTCTTTATCATCATAAGATTGTGACCAACTACCTCTCGATTGTGAGAAACTCATGTTGTCCTCCTCTTTTTGAGTTTTCTAAACCCCAAGATCAATTATTTCTACCTTTGAAACTCTCCCACAATCTCTCTTATTGAATTTGTCTCGATCACCATCATTTTTTTGATTTTGCTTAGCCAATAAGGCTTGTTCTGAACTGGATTTATCACCTACTCTTTCAAGCAAACATTACTCATGAGTCTCCAACGACCCTTATAATTCTTCCAACTAAAATAAATCAAGATTCTTGGATTCTTATTGCGACAAAAATCATATTGAATCTTGCATTGAGAGTCCTTAACACCTTCTCGACCACATGTCGTTCTTTTAAAACATGATTTCATCAAGTTTGTATGAGAGAGTAATCTTGTGAAGTATTTTTGAATGGTTTCTTGAGTTCTCATATGCACTAATTCATATTGACGACGTAAGGTCTAAAGTCGTGTTAAGAACTCAAGTGTGTTTAAAGTCTCACATTGGGTAAAAATGAGAAAGTTAAGTAACTTATAAGTGAGAAAGATTCATAACCTAATGTCTTAAGGTTTTGGATTGAAGGTGGTGTCATATTCTCTTATATGGTTGACTCATGTCCCATTTGTGAGAATCTCTCTATTGTTAGCCTCCTTGGAAAAATCCAACACTGATATCAAATCCAATGGTTTATCCAATGACCAGCTCAGTTGAGTATGATTATAGTAGGTGAAAGGTTTTTGTGTTGAAAGTCTTCCTGACAAGGGTTTCAAGCAAGCGAGTCTCGTTAAGTTGAATGATGGTACAAGTAAGGTCACTACTAGGTACTCATGACGAAGAAATGTTTCCGCTTGAGGGAGAGGTATACCAATGTGAAAAGGAATCACACTTGAGGGGGAGATTGTTGAGAATTTAAGTGTGTTTGAAGTTTTACATTGGATAGAAATAGTAAAATTGAGTAACTTACAAATGAAAAAGACTCATAACCTAATACTTTAAGGTTTTAGATTGAAGGTGATATCATATTCTCTTATATGGTTGACTCGTGTCTCATTTGTAAGAATCTCCTTATTGTTAACCCCCTCAGAAAGACCTAATAAGTTGCACCCCTTTCTATTTCTGCGTAACTATGTGCAAATATATCACAAGCTTTTTTTGTCATATTCTAATGAAATTTTCTCAAAATTACTTTCATCAACACACTATTAAATGTAAAACAAGGTTTTACAATCAAGTTTTTTTACATCTCGAAACATATTATGTTGTGTCTCGATTAGATTTTTCGGTAGCTCATTGTATCCAGCTAGAACAATATCCAAGACTTCTTCGAATACAAAGATTGCCTTCATCTTCGTGCACCAATAATTATAATTATTCAAATTCTTGCTATCTAACATGGACATGTTGCCTTACAACCCATTTCCTACCATCATCATTATTTTTGTCAAATCTTAAAACTCTAGATATCACTCTTAGTAGAAAAGGTCTTTGATACAATATTGAGCTAGAGAACTGAGAGATGTGTTATTGAAAACAAAAGTAATATGAATTTATTACTTTACGTTGTTATTACAAACTGTATATAGATATTGTATTTATAATCAACCATTATAAATTGCTGAATTATTAATCAAGATATGTTGAGTTAATGTCTTTCAATTTCAAATTTATTTTTCTATTTCACGATTACTTGAAGGATAATTATTTTTAAGCAATGCAGATTCTGATGTACGTCTTTCACGAAGGATGCAACGTCTTGCTATTGAGCGTGGAAGGAATGTTGAGAATGTGCTAGACCAAGTTCGTAAGCTTTCTTCTAAGTCCTCCTTTTCAATATTCATTTGAATCCTCTTCCTAGTGTCAAATTTTGTAAGATTTTGAAGGAAAAAAAATGCATACAAATTGGATTAAGTAAAAGGAAAATGAGTAATGATAATGTTGCTTCATACTAAATAAATCATATTTTCATGGTGTTGTTTCCATTTGGTAATGCCTAATGAAAATTATACAAGGTCATTTTGTTAAGAAAGGTTAAAATCTTTATTTTTGTGCAATTAAGGTAAAAGATGTAGTAGTTGTATTAGGACTATAAAATATTATGTAGGGTCTTTTTAATTTTTAGCTCTTATATGATTTTTTTTAATCATTATTGTTGATATTGTTTTGAAAATCGAATCAAACTTGGTCAAACTGGTCTAACTATAAATTATTCTAGAAATTAGTCTATTATTTCTAAATAATCAAATTTTAATTAAATTAAGACAAAATTGAAAAAATTGACCAAATATTTTAATTGAATCTATTTTAGTTTTTTTAAGTTTACAAATTTTTATTTTATTTTAATATTATTCATATGTACTCTTTGATATATTTTATATTTATAATCTTTATTGTAACTTATGATAATAATAATTTTAATTTTTTTTCTTCTATAAAAAAATGTATAACTAATAAATTTATTATATACTTATTATATTATGAAAATATTATTTTATTAAATTTAATTAGACTTCTATTAAATCCCGTTTAAACCTTAAAATCTTAAATCCATATCTTTGTAATCACTTCGATTTTAAAAACATCGGTTATTAATTACTAGTGATAATTATTTCAACATAGTAATCAAATATTAAGAAGGAATTTCCACTTTTTGTTTCTTACATTTGAATATTTGAGACTTGGCAGTGATTTTATACCTAAAATGTTTGTTTATATTCAATAATAGAAAATTCTTTGTAGCATATAACTTATAGTAATTAATTAAAAATGTTCACTTTGACATAACTAAAAAAATGATATTTCAGTATTCCAGATTTGTAAAGCCTAGTTTTGAAGATTTTGTACTGCCAACCAAAAAGTATGCTGATATTATATTATCCCAAGTGGAGGAGATCATGCTGTTGCCATTGATTTAATTGTACAGAACATACGTATGAAGCTTGGCCAACATGATTTGTGCAAAATACATTCCAATGTGTTTGTTATATTGTCAACATTTCAGGTAAATTATTCTAAGTCCTATATTTTTGTTTCAGCAATTCAACACAAATCATGTTTCTTTTATTCCAAATTTTCTATACAATTTGTAATAATAGCTATGATGACGATGAATCTAAATTACTACATTGTGTTTTTTGTTTTTGTTTTAATTAGATAAAGGGAATGCATACTCTTATCCGTGATGTTAAGGCAACAAAGCATGATTTTGCCTTCTACTCAGATCGTTTAATTAGATTGGTATATATACAACTTTGTGGAAATAAAAGTATTATCATGAATGTGAAAAATGGTAACATACATTGTGTGAAATTTTTAGGTTGTTGAGCATGGATTGGGTCACCTTCCTTTTTCTGAAAAGCAGGTGATAACACCAACAGGTAAACGATTTGTAAGAGAAATTTCTCGGGTTTTTGGAGTAAGAAAAATAACTTATTTTTAACCTTTGAATGAATTATAACAAATTTTGAAGCTTGTTCTCTCAAATTTGAACTTAAAAAGTTGTCAAATCATCAAAACAAATGATATTATTTTTTTCTTAATATTCTCTTTTACTATAATAAATGATGACTAATAAATCTTTATTATAATAAATAAGATTAAAAAAAAACTCTAATATTTGGAGGTGGATTTTAAGAGATCAGCAAAGTCATTGTCCCCCATCAAAAAATCTAATATTTTTATATATATAATAATTATTTAAAATATAAATAAAATTAATTTTTTTTATCATTTTTCCTCCCAATTTTTTAATTATAATAAATATCATATTTATTCTTTCTCGTAATTTGTAATGTATTTCTTTTTTGCCTTTTCATTTTCTCACTTTAAACTTTTTATATAAAATACTCATTTTATCTTTTCACATTTTTATTTTTTTCTTTACCACTCATTTATTCTCATATTCTTCTCTTTTAAGATTTCACATTATAACATAAAATTTGTAATCTTTTCTCTTTAGTTTTCAAAATTTTATTTATTATAGTTTGATCTTTATAGCATAAAAATTATAATTTTTTGGTTTTTAGTTTTTTCTTCTATTCACGTTGAAGACATAAGGAAAGAAGTTAAAAAATAAGAGATATTCCACAATACTTTTCTTGAAGTAGAGAAACAAAAAAGAAATTTATTTTCTTTAATTAATATTTTTGTTTATTATTCTAACAAATTAATATATATAGCGTAATATAAAAATAAGAAATGTTAAAATAATTTTATTATTTTTCATAAATTAGTTAGTTATTTAAATATTTTATGATGTGCTATCTTGATTTGTCAATAAAAAAATTCATATTAAATTTTAAAGATAAAAAGAAATTTATAAACTTATTTTTATGAGAAAAGAAATGATAGATAATATTATAAACTCTAGTTTCTAAAATTATGTTCAATTAAAAATGTTAAACATCTTGTTGAACATTTTATATAACATATTTATTTTTACATGATAATTAATTTTTATATGATAATTTAATTTTATATATTAATCCTTGTTTCATTTAAAGTTTATAGCTTCTTCTCTTTTATTACTATCTCAAATTTTAACTTAGAATAGCATGTATAGACTATTTTAATTCTCCAACTACCTATGCATACTTATTTCTTCACTTCTATTCAATTTTTACAAGTTGAATCTAATATAATATTAGATACTTATTAGTTTTGTCTATAATATCTTGACAGTAGAAAAGGAAGATAGGAAAAGTTTCATATTACTTTCCTACATTTTCAAGTTACCACTTATACATTTATTGAACCTTTCACTTATTGTGAATTGGTTATAAGCTAAAATATACATCTTCAATTCATCTATTCCATTAATAGGTAACTATTCTTATATCATATTGTATTTTAATAGACTGATTGATTCTTTTATGAATTTATATCTATGCGCTTCTAACATTCTCAAGTTATTAGAAAACATTTGAAATAATTTTTTTCACTTGTTAATGTTCAGAATTAAAGTATAAATTGAAGTTTCACATTAAATAAAAAAAGTTAAATAACTTATAAATAAGAAAATACTATAATAATACATATTTGAAAATATTTTTTTATATAGTTGATTCATCTATTTATTTGAATCTCCACATTGTTAATATCTTTAAAAATATTTAATCGTTAACTAATTATAACAATGTATTATTACTTTGTCTTTGACAAGAGGATATGTATATTCTGGTGTTGATATAACAATGTATTATTTCTTTATCTTTGACAATAGGATATGTATATTCTGATGATGTTATAACAATGTATTATTACTTTGTCTTTGGCTGCAGGATCTGTATATTCAGGTGTTGTTTTCTGTAGTAGGCTGTGTGGAGTTTCAGTAATTAGAAGGTACCTTTTATATATATATATTTCACGTTTTGAAATACCAGAATTCTTATAAGCTGTCTAACTCCATGCATAGATTTCTCGAATTTGAGATTGAAGAACGTTTGAAAATATACGATAATTATTATTTTTTTCCTTAATTTTGGAAATACATATATTGCGTGTGTTGTCTTATGGTAAATCTGGTTCAACTTTTTTTTTTCTTCTTTAATTTTTATAAGGAATAATAAACTTGTTTATTAACAATATTTATTGAATTATTATCTCCTCAACACTAGTGGAGAAAGCATGGAGAATGCATTAAGAGCATGTTGTAAAGGAATCAAGATTGGTAAAATCCTTATTCATGGACATGGCACAAAAGGTCGACAGGTATATGATTAAATTACAAAATAAATATTTTATTTTAAAATCTATTTATAAAATTATTAAAAATAAGATTTATTTAACTTAATCTAAGAAAATCGATTAGTAAAATAAAAATTGTATTCTCTTATATATATATATATAAGATCCTTGATATTTTTTTAATAATCTCAATATTATTAGTTTTATGTATATTTAAAATTTAAACACTTTTATATTTCTAATGAACAAGTTCAAATACACCAATTATTTTGATTGAGTTAATTTTTTCTGAACACAATGTGATGCAGTTAATCTATGAGAAGCTACCAAAAGACATTGCAAGTCGTCATGTTTTGTTTCTTGATCCAGTTTTGGCAACAGGTTTTTAATTATTTTTTATGTCTATAAATATTTTTTTATTGTATTTTAATAATTAATCACAACAATATATTTGAAAACATCATCATTGCTAGATGACGTCACAAGTAAATCTTTTACGGGAGCTTACAAGGAAAAGTGTTTGAAATTTAAAAAATTAGAATAAAAAAAAAAGCCTATTACCTACGGATTTATTCGTAGGTAAATTTTACATTACCTACGGATATTACCCACGGATGAAAATTTGTAGGTAAATTATACATTACCAACGGAATTCTATCCGTAGGTAATTATCCATTATCTATGGATATTATCCGTAAGTAATGTAATCCGTGGATAATTCCGTAGGTAATTACCTACGTAATTACTTTTCGTAGGTAAAGTGTACATTACCTACGGATATTACCTACGAAATTCTATCCGATGAGTAATTATCCATTACCTACGGATATTATCCAGATAACTGATACTTCAACCACTAAACTATTAGGATATTCTAATAATAATTTACAACTAAATTATACTTATATTTATTCATGTAAATATAAAAATATATAAATATAAAAATATATAAATATATAAATATAAAAATATAAAAATATAAAAATATAAAAATATATAAATATAAAAATATAAAAATATAAAAATATAAAAATATAAAAATATAAAAATATCAAAATATAAAAATATAAAAATATAAAAATATAAAAATATAAAAAAATAAAAAAATAAAAATATAAAAATATAAAAATATAAAAATATAAAAATATAAAAATATATAAATATATAAATATATAAATATATAAATATATAAATATATAAATATAAAAATATATAAATATATAAATATATAAATATATAAATATATAAATATATAAATATAAAAATATAAAAATATATAAATATATAAATATATAAATATATAAATATAAAAATATAAAAATATATAAATATATAAATATATAAATATATAAATATATAAATATATAAATATATAAATATATAAATATATAAATATATAAATATATAAATATATAAATATATAAATATATAAATATATAAATATATAAATATATAAATATATAAATATATAAATATATAAATATATAAATATATAAATATATAAATAGATAAATATATAAATATATAAATATATAAATAGATAAATAGATAAATATATAAATATATAAATATATAAATAGATAAATAGATAAATAGATAAATAGATAAATATATAAATAGATAAATAGATAAATAGATAAATAGATAAATATATAAATAGATAAATAGATAAATAGATAAATAGATAAATATATAAATAGATAAATAGATAAATAGATAAATATATAAATAGATAAATAGATAAATAGATAAATATATAAATATATAAATAGATAAATATATAAATATATAAATATATAAATATATAAATAGATAAATAGATAAATATATAAATATATAAATATATAAATAGATAAATATATAAATATATAAATATATAAATATATAAATAGATAAATATATAAATATATAAATATATAAATAGATAAATATATAAATATATAAATATATAAATATATAAATATATAAATATATAAATAGATAAATATATAAATATATAAATATATAAATATATAAATATATAAATATATAAATATATAAATATATAAATATATAAATATATAAATATATAAATATATAAATATATAAATATATAAATATATAAATATATAAATATATAAATATATAAATATATAAATATATAAATATATAAATATATAAATATATAAATATATAAATATATAAATATATAAATATATAAATATATAAATATATAAATATATAAATATATAAATATATAAATATATAAATATATAAATATATAAATATATAAATATATAAATATATAAATATATAAATATATAAATATATAAATATATAAATATATAAATATATAAATATATAAATATATAAATATATAAATATATAAATATATAATTATATAAATATATAAATATATAAATATATAAATATATAAATAAATATATAAATATATAAATATATAAATATATAAATATATAAATATATAAATATATAAATATATATAAATATATAAATATATAAATATATAAATATATAAATATATATAAATATAAAATATATTTATATTTTGATATATTTATATATTTGTATATTTATATATTTGTATATTTATATATTTGTATTTATATATATTTTATATTTATATATTTTATATTTATTTATTTACATGGATAAATATAAATATAATTTATTTGTAAATTATTATCAAAATATCCTAATAGCTTAGTGATTGGAGTATCAGCCAAACGTTTTTTTAGTGTAAATTGTAGGGATAAACAAATTATTTATTTCCAAAAAAAAACCTTGAGTAAATGCTATAATTTTACTCATATATATATTAACTTTGAAACATCAATTAGTTCTCATTCGATTAAAAGACTTACCATTTTTTAGTTAGCTTTCTACGTAAAAGAGTATGAAAATACTATTTTAAAATGTAAAAATTTTATCCATTTAAAATATTTAATTATCAATTGTCAAATAAAAAAAACTATTTGTCCATATTAATAATATAATTTATATTTAAAGAATATTTTTCTACTTACTCTATAATTTTATACCAAATAAAAATATTATATAACTTTTTAATAATCAATTTGCCGCGTTTTTTTATTTATTTAACTTGCACCTCTTATTTATTAGCATTATATTTTTATATTAAATTAAATAAACTTATGAATCGCAATTAATAAAATCTGGTCAACATTATACGACTAAAAAGTTTATTTTCTCTTTATTTGTTTATTCATGTTAGAGAGATGAATTTATTTTAAGAATAATAACAACATATTTATTTTTATAGTAATATGGTGATTTAAAATAATAAATCATCTTTATAATTAAACTAAAAAAAATAAATAATAAGACTAAAAAATAAGTTAAAAAAAAGTGAATATCTTTATATATATATAATATTGCCTACTTAAATTTCCTTGGAGGGTCTAATATAGTTTTAATAATCAGGAAACTCTGCAGTGAAAGCAATCTCTCTACTTCTGAATAAAGGTGTACCAGAATCTAACATTATATTTCTAAACTTAGTAGCAGTGAGTCACTTTTGTTTAATGCTTCCTTCTCTTTAGCTTGGTTCATGCATTTTGAACAGTTTATTCCTTGCGTTACTTCTAACAAATTTGCATGATGCAGGCACCACAAGGAATAAATGCGGTCTGTGAGAGATTTCCACTGCTAAAACTTGTGACATCAGAGATTGATGCATCACTGAATGAGAATTCTCGGGTCATCCCTGGCTTAGGGGAGTTTGCTGATCGTTACTTTGCCACTGATGATTAGCACATAACAACAAAATCCAATTACCAACTTCAATTTCATCATATAGTTATGCATCAACATCTACAATGAATATAACTATGAAAACATAACTTGCTCATGTAGATAAATACATGTTAAAACATGAACAGAAGAATCTCTACTTCAATGTAATTTCTTGTATTAATTAATGAAATTGTAAACTTCTTTTGTATCACAGATTGTATTAGGTCATGGAAAGTAGGTTCTGCAAAATGGTCCTCAGATTGAAATATCTTAATGTAGAATAACCAAACACTTCTCAGTTATTATAAAAAGTGGTCACTGATGTGAAACTTTTCTGAACTTGATGCTTAAATACTTACTTGTAGGCCACCATTATTTTTACATGCAAAGAAGTAATTAATGCATGAGAAGAAAAACCATAGATAACTATATTAATTTGGAAATATATAGTTTAAGTCCATTGTCAATGAAATTTGATTCAATCATTAAAAATTAATGAATCATGTTTGGTTTGTTCTTTAGATTTGAATTGGTTTTGAGTGTAATCAATCGGTGAAAAATAAAATAGTAAAAATTTTAAAAACCTTTCATAACGAGTCAATGGAAATTATTTTTTTTAGAGTGTTTCTAAGGTAAATAATTTTCAATCAAAGATTATTCTTATTCAACTTTTATATTTAATATAATATGAAATATTTAGATTAACTTGCAAGAATAATAAAGAACTACTCAAGTGAATTGCTGAAAAGTAAATGTGCAGAAAATTAAATAACATAAAGATAAATTTAACTTGTTACCAAGGATAAAATAGAAATTGACAAAAAAAATAAATGAAAATGACGATCCAAATTATGCGTTTTTCAAAATGTAAGATGTATAATTTGACAATCACCTTTTGTTACTTTTATTTTATCTTTTATATATATATATATATATATATATATATATATATATATATATATATATATATATTACTTTTTTGTAACCGCCAAGGTATCACAAACATAAAACTAAAAAAAATAAAAAATAAAAAGAAAACTATAAATTAGAATCCTCGAATAATTATCTTCTTTTAACCACTTCTTTTCTTATTCCACCTTGTTGACCCACGTTTACTTATAACTGTACATTCTAAGGAACTTGTTCCTTAATCATCTTCATAAGTTTTTCGATATATTACTTGAATATCCTTCAATATAGCTTCCTCTCGATATATCTATGTCGATGTTCTTCACTCTTTAATTCTTTAATTCCTATTTCGTCGATGTTCTGACTTTTCGAAAACTTAATACTGATTACTCTTCTACCTCGATAATATGTCTTTCTCGATTATTACATTTATTCCTTTCAACTATTTGATATCCCCTTTTTCTCGATTCATTTTTTCAATCTTTTTGTAATTTTTAGCCTTAACAAAATATCAGCTAAGAGAATACTTACATGAATCGTCCATGAGTATATGTATTCTTTTATCTTCGATACCAACTTCAAATATTTTATCCATACTTTATTAAAAAGCTGTTTTTATCCTATGTTCTCATTATTACTTTTATTCCCCTCATAAATGAAAAATTCTCGTAATAGATGCGACTGTCTATATATATCATCACTCTTTTGCTCGTCATTAGTCTAAATTTATTCCTAAATATTCGATTTATTTGGATATGCCCTACACCAAACCCATCATATCACTAGGCTTCTTGGAAAAAAATCTCTTCTTTCAAAAAGATTAAAATTACTCATCTTCCTCACCCTAACTTACTTTCCCAACTTTACAAATTGTCCCTTAAAGATCCTCTCAACTACTTCATTCTTATATAATCCGTATCGTTCTTAGATTTCCACTTATATTTCCCTCCCAATGGCTTCATCATTCGGTTCTTTCCAAACCTCTAACATCCAACCTATTAGTACCCAATTTGTCAAACTAAATGACAAAACTTTTGCACCAATCATTATATTACTTGAGGAAACCTAAAAAATCTGCTCTACCCAGATACTAATTCCATATTCAGTAGAAGGTGTTCCATTAGCCTTTGGAGGACCATTGATACCTGACCCTAAAGAACCTACCGACTTCCCTTCTACCAAAGAAGGAAAATGCATTCTCCAAGAACCTCAAGGAAAATTTAGGGTAGACTTTCTCTCTCAAACACCCAAACTGTATCGTTTTGGTCCACCCCAGAAAAAAACCAAGCTACATCAAATGACTCAATAGAATTGAGCCTCAATTCATACCGCATTGGAGAAACATAAGTATATATGACATTTTCTATCTTTCCAAACATGACATAGGTTTCCTTGATATGTAAATGTTTTTATCAGCTACCCACCTCTAGAATAAGGACCTCAATGCATTGGAGTTTTCTTGTGGGCTGGTCTCTCCCACTCTCTTAGACATAGCTACAATCACAGGTCTTAAAGCTGTGGGAGAAACATACCATATTTATGCCTTCCCCGCTGATAAAAGAATCAAATCCAAAACTTGATGGAATAAGAAAGCATATGGTCATTTTTTGCAAGAGCACTTCGTCGATGATCCATCGATTAAAGTTTTCGAAGAAGAACATGTGACCTGCTTGTATACTGGCTATGTACACATTTCTTCTGCCCCGCTCTATTCAATATCCCCATGCTATTATAACTTGGCCGTTTTGCTTTATCAAGGAACTCCCAACATATGTTTGGCCAAGTTATTGCTTGCTCATATGTACATTGCCTTTAGTGAAGTAGTTGATACCTTCTGTTCCAACCGTCCAGGTGGCAACTTATCAGGTCTATTATGGTTTATTCAACTATGGCTAACTGCCATTTTTGAATCGCGTCTTCCTCCAACCACAATTACTAGTATTATTGTTCCTTCTTACCCATCAAAAGGTGTTCGATTAGCCATTAGACACCCTCATCATTACAAGTCCGATATTGTTACATATAAAAGCTACCTTAAATTCTTCTCGGATCAGACATAATTCTCCATTATCCTTGCACAATTTTCTAAAATTGGAGAAGCACCAAAGGACATCAGAGGCCAATGTTGGCTCAAATCAAAGCCACCAGTAAACACCCCAGGACTATAGGCGGAACTCATTGAAATCTAGAGTAGTTTCCTAACATAGGACATACTCATATCTGGTCTTCAATCAAAAGATATACAATTTTTTCCATATATCCCTCAACACTTTTCATGTCAATTTGGTTTGAGCCAAACCTTTCTTACTTCTCAATTTCATAAATTTATTCCTCGAGATGTTACTTACAATGAATTATCTCTTCGAGAAACTCTCTCCTAACTTACACCCAAAGAACCCATCAAATATAATGTAAGAATTAATGGTTGAGTTCAAGAGGGGGGGTGAATTGAACTTTAGAAAACTTTTTTGCAAAACATACTTTCTTTAGGAAGAATGATTTATCTTTATTCAATTCTTCTATAGGTAGATTTGATTTTAATCACAACAAGAATATAAACAAGAAATAAAAGAGATAAAAGCAGAAATTCAACACAAAAGTTTATACTGGTTCACTCTTTACCAGAGCTACATCCAGTTCTTGACAAATCTGCCAAGTTCCACTAATTCCAAGTGAAAATTACAACCAGTAGATATTCGCCAATCTACCCCAAGAACTATCTCACAAACCCACAAGATAGACTCTTGAAAACCTCCCAGTAACCAAATCCAGTTACTGTAACCAGTGCAGATTCACAACCCAATCTACACAATCACACTTTATACAAGAATATGAAAAGAAAAAACCTGGACTGCAGCTTTAACAGTATAGATGTCCAGAAGCAATTCTAACTCAGAACTTTCTCTCTTTGATGAACCACAATCTTGATCAAAGCACCTTATGATATGAAAATTTTTTGAATGCACAGAGAAAGTCACAGATATGATAGCTCTAAGATTGCTTTCAAATGTTTTCTCAAAATTGTATATTTCAAAAGATAGATCAAACCTGTATTTATAGAATAAAAGAGAGAACCAGAATGTTTAAACTGATAAAAACTGATTCAGAGTAGCAAATGATCGATCAGGATAACAATATAACAGGTTAGAATCAATTATGATCGATTAGAATCGAATTATGATCGATCAAAATGCTTTTCAATCGATTAAAACGACGTTTCAATCGATTGATTTTATTTAAAACTTCATTCAATCGATTGATTCGATTTTTCAATGGATTGAAACAGCTTAGAAAAAAATGATAGCTCTCTGTTTCAACAGATTGAAAAACATTTCAACAGATTGAAATCCTGTGAACTCTTAGACTGAAAAAATGGTCTCTCTATTTCAACAGATTAAAAAATATTTCAACAGATTGAAAATGCGAAACCTTTAATATTTGAAAAAATCATTAAGAACATTTTTAACCTGTTGATTCTGCGATTCAACCAATTGATATTTTGACTATATATGAACACTTCTTATGTTAAGTGATTTTAACAGATTGAAACTTCTTTTCAATAGATTGAAAAACTTAGTTTGTTCTTTTAATGCTAAAGGTTAGTTTTTCATGCAGAAAAATGAGTTCAATGAGATGCTTAGTTTGTTCTTTTAATGCTAAAGGTTAGTTTTTCATGCAGAAAAATGAGTTCAATGAGATGCATCATTTCAAGGCGCTTATCACAAGATCTATTGGCCTATCAAGAGATTAAGTTTTAAACTTCTAACCTATTCATCTACACACCCACAAACTAAACTATATCAACTCAATATGTCTTCATCAAATCCAACAAGTGCTTCAATCTCCCCCTATTTGATGGAGACAAATAACCACTGCACCTGCACAAGAAGTAACAGAACAGAGACATATATGATTTTGTGGTGTGTGTGTAGTGACAGTTATAAGCAAACACTTCTCCCCCTATTTGACTTCATCAAATAAAGTGTTTAGTTACAGTCCAACAGTACCACGTAGGTACCCAAACCAAAAAAAACAAGGAATAGAAACAAGAGAACAAAAACATAAAAAAAAACAAGACTTCATTCATCACCATCCCAGGGACCCTGATT